GTACTGGCACAAAAACAGACCTGAAGACAGAAGGGATAGAATAGAAGATCCAGAAATAAACCACATACCTACAGTCAGCTGATAATTGACAAAGAAGCCAAAAACATACAGTGGAAGAAACACAGCCTCTTCAACCACTGGTGCTGGGAAAACTGGGCAGCCACATGCAGAAGACTAAAAGTGGACCCCAGCCTATCACCATGCACCAACATCAACTCAAAATGGATTAAAGACCTTAACATCAAACCTGAATCTCTGAAACTACTGCAAGACAGAGTAGGAGAGACACTTGAGCTTATAGGCACAGGCAGGAACTTCCTGAACAAAGTCCCAGGGTTACAACAAATTGAAGAGAGACTTGACAAATGTGACTACCTTAAAATAAAAAGCTTCTGCACAGGTATAGCCATCGCAATCAAGCTAGAAAGACACCCAACTAATTGGGAAAAAATATTTACCAGCAGTATATCAGACAAGGGGTTAATTTTCCAGTATATACAGGGAACTCAAGAAACTAATCCCTCCCAAACCTAACAAACCAATTACTAAATGGGCAAGGGAACTAAAGAGAAACTTCTTAGAAGAAGAGATAAAAATGGCAAAGAAACACATGAGGAAATGTTCACCATCCCTGGTGGTGAAGGAAATGCAAATAAAGACTATCCTGAGATACCACCTTACCCCAGTCAGAATGGCCCACATCCTCAAGTCTGCCAATGACAAATGCTGGAGGGGATGCGGAGAAAGAGGAACCCTATTACACTGCTGGTGGGAATGTACACTTATACAACCACTTTGGAAAGCAGTCTGGAGGGTCCTCAGAAAGCTAAATATTGACCTTCCTTATGACCCAGTCATACCACTTCTAGGCATCTATCTGAACAACAGGAACCATTTTACAAGGACACATGCACCTCCATGTTTATTGCAGCACTGTTCACAATAGCCAGGATATGAAAACAACCCAGATGCCCCACCACAGATGAATGGATCCAAAAATTGTGGTATCTATACACAATGTAATATTATGCAGCCATTAGAAATGACAAAATAATGGCATTTGCAGGGAAATGGATGGAGCTAGAAGAAATCATGTTGAGCGAGGTAAGCCAGGTGCAGAGAGACAAATGGTGGCACATGGTCTCCCTGATAAGTTGATGTTTAATCCAAAATGTTAGGTGATACGACAAAATTAACAGGACTTAAGAAACAAAGGATTTCCACTCATGTGGTCGAATCACTACTAAATAACCCCCATGCTGCTGATCACATGTATGGTATATATGTGCACACCAGAGGGAAACTAGGAGGATGACACAAAACTAGAGGGAATCAGGGGAAAACATACAACAGCAGGACCCATCAACTGCACTGGACATTGAACTAAGCAACTCAAGTGATGGGAGGGAGGGAACAAGTGGGAAAGAGGGAACAGCTGATGCTATGCAAAACAAAAGAAATGTACATATCACCCAATGTGGAAGAAATAACTGTATTGCAAAGCTCATAGAACTCATAAATGTTATAGACAATGATAGATAATTTCTCCTATGTTTGTGACTTTAACTAAGCTTCACTATCCCACAATACTGTGAAATTAGGAAAATTATGTAACCACTTAATCACAATAAAAAATTTGAATTAAAAAAAGAAATCAGCTCAAGTTTACATCAATTGATGAATAGATAAAGAAATCATGGTACAAATACACAATGGGATACTATTCAGCTATAAAAACAATAAAAAGTCTGTCACTTATGATAATATGTTACTGGAGTAACATTCTACTAAACTGAAATAAGTCAGGTACAAAAGGAAAAACATTTCATAACCTTACTTATATGTACAAACTAAAAATTTATTTCATAAAAGTTAAAGAGTAGAATGGTCATCAGACACTAGAAAGAACGGGGCAGAGAAGATAGGAAGGCAATGTATACGCTGTTACAATTAGTAGAAGGAGGAGAAATATGAGAGGAGAAGAAGGTGTTTTATGGAAAGTAAGGATGAGAGGATTGTCCTACTAGATACCAAGAATAATTATAAAGCTAAAAGTGCTATGATTTTGCAACAAAGATATATAAATGATCTACAGCTGGATATAGAAACAAACATATATATATATATATATATATATATATATATATATATATATATATATATATATATATATATATATATATATATATATATATATATATATATGAAGTGGGAGAGGGGCTGGGAAGGTGGCTCAGTGGTAGAGTGCTTGCCTTGCATGCATGAGGCCCTGGGTTTGATTCCTTGACACCACATAAGCAGAAAAAGCCAGAAGTGACGCTGTGGCTCAAGTGGAAGAGCACTAGCCTTGAGCTAAAGAGCTGAGGGAAAGGCCCAGAGTTCAGGCCCTACTACCGACAAAAAAAAAAAAAACAGAAAGAGAAACATGAAGGAGGGAGTAACAATGTACTTATTGCCTTATTTATGTTACTGTAATCCCTCTGTATATCACCTTGACAATAAAAAATCATCAAATTATTCAGTAATGAGAATATATTTTTTAAAATGTTTAAAATAAAAAACTTAAAGCCAAGCACTGATGGCTCACACTTGTAATAGTAGTTACTCAGGAAGCTGAGATCTGAGAATAGTGATTGAAAGCCAATTCAAGCAGAAAATACCCTGAAACTCTGATATCCAATTAAGCACCAAAAAAATATGAAAGTGAAGCTGTGGCTCAAGTGGTAGAGTACTAGCCTTGAACAAAGAAGCTGAGGGGCTGGGAAGTTGACTCAGTGGTAGAGCGCTTGCCTTGCATGCCTGAGGCCCTGGGTTCGATTCCTCAGCACCACATAAGCAAAAAGAAAAAGGCCGGAAGTAGCGCTGTGGCTCAAGTGGTAGAGTGCTAGCCTTGAGCTGAAGAGCTGAGAGATAGCGCCCAGGCCCAGAGTTCAGGCCCCACAACTGGACCGCCCCCCCCCCCAAAAAAACCAAAAAACCAAAAAACAAAGAAGCTCAGGGTCAGCACCCAGGCCTTATGGGTCAAGCCCCAGGACAGGCACAAAAAAATTAAACAATGTACAAAATATTTGAAAAATTGAGTTGTCCATGCAAGTACATTAGTGCATTTCTGTAGCACCAGCACTGAGGAGGTTGAAGCAGGAGAACTGTGAGTTCCAGGACAGCCTAGGCAATTTAAGTGAGACCTTGTCTCAATACAAGAAAATAAAATTTTTAAAAAGATGGTGAGAGCATAGCTCTCATTCTTTCTTTTTTTTTTTTTGGTCCAGTTGTGGGGCCTGAACTCTGGACCTGGGTGCTGTCCCTCAGCTCTTCAGCTCAAGGCTAGCACTCTACCACTTGAGCCACAGTACCACTTCCGGCTTTTTTTTCCCCTGCTTATGTGATGCTGAGGAATCGAACCCAGGGCCCCAAAAATGCAAGGTGAGCGCTCTACCACTGAGCCACCTTCCCAGCCCAGCTCTCATACTTTCATAGTATGTACAAAGCTCTGAGTTCAATCTTTAGTATCAGAGAGGAGTTAATATTAACCATATAATTAAGCAACCATTGCTAAATTGGTAATAAATTCTGGAAAATGTGTCATTAGCCGAATGTATCACTGTACAAACAGTATAGAGTGTGCATTTACAAACCTAGATAGTAAACCTATTGTACACCTAGGCTATAACATACAGCCAATTGCTTCTAACCTGTACATGTTACATGTTATTGAGCTGAATATTGTAGTTCATTAAAACACAAAGGTCATTATTTGTACTGACCTTGTATTGCCTAATAGTAGTTTCATCATAATTTTAAAGTACTATTAGTCAATACGAACTTTTCACCAAAAAAAAAAAAAAGTAAAGTAAAAAGCTGGCAGTGGAGCTGTGGCTCCAGTGGTAGACAGCCTTGACCAAAAAAAACAAAGTTCAAGAACAATGCCTAGGGCTGGGAAGGTGGCTCAGTGGTAGAGCGCTTGCCTTGCATGCTCAAGGCCCTGGGTTTGATTCCTCAGCACCACATAAGCAAAAAGAAAAAAGCCGGAAGTGGCGCTGTGGCTCAAGTGGTAGAGCGCTAGCTTTGAGCTGAAGAGCTGAGGGACAGCGCCTAGGCCCAGAGTTCAGGCCTCATGACCGGACCCAAAAAAAAAAAAAAGAACAATGCCTAGGCCCTGAGTTCAAGCTCCAGGACCTACACACACATACATACAAAATAAATAAATAAAAAATAAAACAACCCAAACTTTCTCTTTCTCATGCTTTTATTGTCAGATGATTAAAGTAAAGCAAGACTGAATTTATGAACAAACATTATTAAAAACTTGAGCTGGGTGCCAGTGGCTCACACTGTAATGCTAGCTATTCAGGTGGCTGAGATCTGAGGATTGTGGTTTGAAGCCAGCCAGGGCAGCAAAGTCCCTGAGACTCTTATCTTCAATCAACTATAGAAAAAGCTGGAAGTAGCCGGGCGCTGGTGGCTCACGCCTGTAATCCTAGCTACTCAGGAGGCTGAGATTTGAGGATCGCGGTTCAAAGCCAGCCTGGGCAGGAGAGACCGTGAGACTCCTATCTCCAATAAACCACCAGAAAACCGGAAGTGGCGCTGTAGCTCAAGTGGTAGAGCGCTGGCCTTAAGCTGAAGAGCTGAGGGACAGCACCCAGGCCCAGAGTTCAAGCCCCACGACCGACCCAAAAAAAAAAAAAAAAAAAGAAAAAGCTGGAAGTAAAGCTTTGGCTAAAGTGGTAGAGTGCTAGCCTTGAGCAAAAGGAGCCCAGAGTTCAACCCCTAGGACTAGTGGGGGTAAAACAAATGTAAAGCTTTATTAATCTATCCCAAAATTATAATTATATATGAGTATATATATATATATATATGTATATATACATACATCTTTCAATCATTGATATCAGTGAAAGATAACACCAAATGAACTTAAGCACCCTAATTCATAATTTACAGTACAGGACTTTAAAATTTCAAAAGAATACCCAGGTTAATCTTTCAGTCATTTTTACCTGAGTGTCCTATTTGTGGTGTCCAATTTTTGTAACCTGATCTCTGAGGATTTCCAGCAGTCAACGGAGTTTTAATCACTTGTGGATAATTAGTGTCTTGTGCAGAAGATGAACTTGTACCAAAAGTAAAATTGGATGGAACTGTGTTTGCTGCATAGGATCTTTTGCTTCCCAAGTTTGAGCCTAAATTTGAAAAATGTAAGCATTAAGGATTAGAATTATTCAACACCTATAATTTATTATGTTCACTTTATATAGAATTGTTCTTCCAATAATGATTTTCAAATCTAACACATTCAATAGCTCAAAATTTTTAATTAAAATATGCTAATATTTTTCTAAAATATGCTCCTACAAACTCCCTGAGAGCCACTCTCCGGTGGCTCATGCCTGTAATCCTAGCTACTCAGGAGGCTGAGATCTGAGGATCACAGTTCAAAGGCAGCCCAGGCAGGAAAGACCATGAGACTCCTATCTCCAATAAACCACCAGAAAACCAGAAGTGGCGCTGTAGCTCAAGTGGTAGAGAGCTTGCCTTGAGCTGAAGAGCTAAGGGACAGCACCCAAGCCCAGAGTTCAAGCCCCACGACCAAAAAAAAACTCACTGAGATTACTCTTGCTAAAAAAAAATCATGTTACTTTCTAATATTCAAATATATAATCTATGCTTAATTTTTTTTTTAAGGTCCGGTTGTGGGGCTTGGGCGCTGTCCCTCAGCTCTTCAGCTCAAAGCTGGCGCTCTACCACTTGAGCCACAGCGCCACTTCCTGCTTTTTGCTTTTTTCTTATGTGGTGCTGAGGAATTGAATCCAAGGCCTCAGGCATGCAAGGTGAGCGCTCTACCACTGAGCCACCTTCCCAACCCTCTATGCTTAATTTTTACAGTAATTACTAGGTCTGTTTTCCTCTACTACTCATTGAAAATCTTCTCCCATACAAATTGTATAAAAATAGCTCTCTTGGCTTCAGTTCTTGATATATTATCTATTTCATTGCTGTCATCAAATTTGAAATAATGTACATAAATAACCTAGCACAGTGTCCTGGCCTATGGAAGTTCTTGGGGGGAAAAATTAAGGCTCTATTCTTTTTCCTTTTGTGTGTGTGTGTGACAATTCTGTATCTTATTTCTCTTCCAAGCTACTTGTAGTTTACACTGTCTAATCCCATTTTGTCTATCATTTTATTTTTGTTTTATAACAATGTAGTCCAGATTGTCCTTAAACTCACAATCCTCCTGTTTCTGCCTTCTGGGTACTAGGATTACAAGAGTTTACCACCATGCAGAGCCTTATTCTGTCTTCTTATCCATATTACAAACCTTCTCTCACAAAACAAAATTTTCTCTGGCATATCATCTGTTCTCGGTTTCTATTCACATCTATTTCCTAGCAACTCTCAAATCTCCATTAAGTCTTCATGATTCAATCTTCTTTTTTTCTTTCTTTTTTTTTGCCAGTCCTGGGACTTGAACTCAGGGCCAAGGCGCTGTCCCTCAGCTCTTCAGCTCAAGGCTAGTACTCTACCACTTGAGCCACAGCACCACTTCTGGCTTTTTCTGTTTATGTGGTGCTGAGGAATCGAACCCAGGGTTTCATGAATGCAAGGCAAGCACTATGCCACTGAGCCATCCTCCCAGCCTGATTCAATCTGCTTAACTTCTGTATGTAAGACAAAGATTGATATTTAATAAAGAACTTTTTAATAAAAGCACAGATCATTAACATCTTAGGGTCTGTGGTCCACAACTCACTGCCACTTTTACTCAATTCTGACACTATAGTGGGAATGCAACCATAGATGAATGAATGAGCCTGGCTACATTGTAATAAAACTTTCTAGGGAAAGATGGAACAGCTGACACTCAGCAAAAGAAATGTACATGTCACCCCATTTGGAAAAAATACTTTTATTGTTAAAGTTCGTAGAGTTCATAAACTTCGTAGATTAAGATAATGATGAATTGCATTGTGAAGGTTAAAATGTGTTTGTGACCTTACCTAAGTATCACTATGCCACAATACCGTGGAATTTATGTAATTATGTAATCTCAATAAAGAAATATTTGGAGAAATAAAATAATGTTATGAGGGCTGGGAAGGTGGCTCAGCGGTAGAGTGCTTGCCTTGCATGCCTGAGGCCCTGGGTCGATTCCTTAGCACCACATAAGCAAAAAGAAAAAAGCTGGAAGTGGGGCTGTGGCTCAAATGGTAGAGCGCTAGCCTTGAGCTGAACAGCTGAGGGACAGCTCCCAGGCCCAGAGTTCAGGCCCCACGGCCCCCCCCAAAAAAAAATGTTATGAAAGAAATATAAAAACTTTCTAGGTACTGAAAAAATTGAATTTCACATAATTTTCATGTCACAATTTAACATTTAAAAAGTTTTTCAACACTTCAAAATGCACAAATCAGCTGGACATTAGTGGCTCATTCCTGTAATCCTAGCCACTGGGGAAGCTGAGAATGGGAGAACTGTGATTAGAGGATAGTCCATTTAGAATTATTAAAACCCCATTCTCAACTATAGTTAGGTACAGTGATGCACCCAGCTCAGATTTGTTTTATACATTCTAAGATTCTCTATTCATGACACAACTTAACTGTACTCCAGATTCTTATTTCACTGTCTCCTGAAGTTCCTTTCTCTTTCCTTCCTTTCTTCCTTCCTTCCTTCCCTCCCTCCCTTCCTTCCTTCCTTCTTCCTTTCCTTCCTTCCTTCCTCCCTCCCTCCCTTCCATTTTATTTTTTTTTGGTGCCAGTACTGGGGTTTGAACTCAAGGCCTGCACTCTTGCTTGGCTTTTTCACTCAAGGCTGACACTATCACTTCAACCAAAACTTCACTTCTGGCTTTTTTTGGTTAAGTTTCTACCCAGGCTGATATCCAAACTCAATTGTTTGACTTCAGCCTCCTGAGCAACCAAGATTACAGGCCTGTTGTGCTACCAGCACCCATTTCTCCTTAAGTTTCAATTGACAGATACCTTAGACTCAAATATTCATTAAATCATCTCTCTTCAGCTCCTTAACCTGATTATCTGATCACTTGCTTCTTGGTTCTCTTAAATATAGATTTCAACACTTCATTCTTCACATATAAATTCAAAGTTAAATCTTTTTTTTGGGGGGGGGGGGGTGACGCACTACTTGTGGAAGGGTTCTATCATTAGAGCCACACCTTAGTCCTTTGGCTTTAGTTTCAGAAAGGGTCTCAAGCTTTTTGCCTAGCCTCAGTCTGTAACCCTTATCTCTGCTTCCCAAGCAGCTGGGACTACCTAAGTTATCCAGTACACCTGTACCTCTTGTCTTTTTTTTTAAATGTGTTGAACACATCCTCAAGAACTTAATTTCTAAAATAATAACTATATTCATCTAGAATAGAGGAAATGTTCAACTTAATCAAATTTCATCTTACCCTAGGGTCTTGGTAGACTAAAATCCAGGAGCCCAACCCTCAGCTAACTTTTTTTTTTTTTCGGGGGGGGGGGGGGGAGTCCGATTGTAGGGTCTGAACTCTGTACCTGGGCACAGTCCCTCAGCTCTTCAGCTCAAGGCTAGCGCTCTACCACTTGAGCCACAACGCCACTTCCGGCTTTTTTCTGCTTATGTGGTGCTGAGGATTCGAACCCAGGGCCTCATGCATGCGAGGCAAGCACTCTACTACTGAGCCAACTTCCCAGCCCCTCAGCTAACTATTTCTATCAGCAAACATCCACAAACGAGGCAGAACTCAGCCAGGAACCATCTCTGTCTTGTCATGAAACAATATTAGAAAGTAGTTTTAGGCTGAAGGCGGGGGAGGGTGCTGGTGAGTCCCGCCTGTAATCCTAGCTATTCAGGAGGCTGAGATTTGAAGATAGTGTTTGGAAGTCCGGCCAGGAAAGTCTGAGACTCTTCTAATAAACTGCTTAGAAAAAGCTGGGCTTGGCGCTGTGGCCCAGGTGGTAGAGCGCTAGCCTTGACCCAAAAGAAGCTCAGGGACAGTGCCCAGGCCTCAGGGACTGGCAAACACTAAGAAAAACCCCACAACGTAAAGTTAGTTATGGCAGCACCCATTCTCGTGCCCCTCTCCTGCCCCCACGAGCCCCGCTTGCCTCGCGGGGGCCAGGCCGCGCCCCGGGGCGGGCGGCTGCTGCTGCTGCTCCTGCTGCGGTCGCCGACCACCCCAGACGTGACCCCAGACGTGCCGGGCGGGCTGGAGGCCGCGGCCGAGGCCCAGGCCGGCGCGCAGCTCTGAGGGCTCTCCTGGAGCCCGAAATTGTAGCGCGGACCTCGCAGGTACGCCTCGCCCGGCAACGGGGAAGCTGCAGATGAAAGGGAGACTGATGACAGCTCGGGTCTCGACATCCTACCAAACTGTCAGGAACAAAGTTTCCAGGCCTTTCTTTGCTGTGTAGGGGCGAAGCAACGCCACTGGGGAAAATGGCGGAAGAGAACGCACCACGCAGGCGCACCAAGCCATCCCTCCGCGCAGGCGCATAAGCAACTCTCCACACTATGCAAATTTGTTCTGTAGTAGCCATCGCATTACACATGAACCAAGTTACAGTACACCTCAAGTCTGCAGGTATGTAATTGCAATCTTTCTGGGCCCACCAAGGATGACCTAACTGGCAGTGCGGTAATTCTCACAGCAACTCCTTAACTGTGCAACAAAATGCGTTTGAGGGCATGCTGCAGACTGAACACAGGGTCTCACGTTGAGCTGTACAATCTTCCTCATTCTGATTTTTAAACAGATCTTATCACTATGCACCCAATTTTTTATCTTGGGGATGGAGGGGAGGTCTTATGACCAAATACAAAACTGGTCTACAGACTATTATAAATTAGGATGGACATAGCTGACCAGACTAGTGATGTCAGTTTCCAATACCTCCAATTTCCAGTACTATGGTTTCAAACAGCACAGTTCTATGCTTGCAAACAGGAACACTGCATGAAACTTCAACAGGTTAGGTGACTCAAGCCAGATGTGTAAACATCCCAATGAGTTGCTAGTATCTTTTAAAAGTGATGTAATCTTTTAAATAAAGGTGGCAAACCTTGAAAAAGGTGACTACAGAAGAGTAAACAAATACAAGTATTATCTTTTTACAATGTTTTATTGTACATGAAGAGGCTGCTAAGTAGGAAAATATCTTTAAGTGTACAAATAACCATGAAGGAAATGTGCATAAACACAAATCAACTCCCCCCCCCCAAGAAATCTACAAAGGCACCACAAACTCAAGATTCTATTTCCCTTACTCTAACAGCCTGAAACCTATCCATTGGCATTACAAAACAGCCAAAAAGGACAGGATGACCTGATTTCCAAAGTAGCATAAGAATCTCTTGAATCCTAACTTGATCACACAGAGCTGCTTCTAAAATTCTAGGGATTGACTTATGAATAGTTTTTTCTTCAAACAAACCAATACACTACCAATACACTACTGTCATAGGACCTAGAATTAGGAGCACATGGGAAAGAGAACTGAAAAAAAAAATCTAACTTATTTTAAATTGTTTACTATAGAGACAAAACAAAAACTCCAAATAGAAATTAAGAATTAAAGTAAAAAGCTAAAAATACAATATAAGCCTTTATATTACAGTACATATAATTACATAATTTATTAAAATTAATTTAATACATCAAAATATAATACATAAATACTAATAGTCACTTCTAGATTCAGTAAGTACTTCAAATAGAGAAATGTTGAGATTGCAAAACTATATTAAGCATTTTTCCCACTGATGAATCTAGTTCACTAGTTCAGGCTGAACATTCACCCTGCGAAGCACTTCTTCAGGCATGCAAAAGACAGGACTAACAGGTTTAACCTGTTCTTCCCCCAAAAGTGACAATCCAGCAATTCCAAATAATGTATGGAAAGGATCCACCTACAAAACAAGCAGAGTTTAATTACAAAATGAAAATATCTATGATATAAAATACCATGTTCTGAAATTTCATTCAAACCTCATTATTAGACACAATGAGGAATTTCTGTAAATGTCATGTCCATTCATATTTTAAAACAAAAGTTACAAAAAAAAAACTCTGAACAATAAACTATATGACAGTACCTAGAAACCAGGTAGGTACCAGCAGCCCCTGGGGTTGTGCAAGTGGTAGTGCACAGTTTAAAACAGATATACTTGCCATATCTCCTGGCCTGTCTGCAAAACCTCCAGTTTCTTCATCTTGACATGCTAAAATGAAACTTCGAAGCTTCTCTCTATCAATCCAATGAAGTCTTCCAATGATCTTTAAGGAAGCCAATACCCACCAGGAATAGCATACATCTGGTAACTAGAATGGGAAAGTCACAAAAAGTTGTCACATTATTACCTTAGGTTTGAAGAATATTTTGAGTTAAAACTAAGTACATTTCATGCTCAAGAGATTTACTGGAAGCCGGGCGCTGGTGGCTCACGCCAGCCCAGGCAGGAAAGTCTGTGAGACTCTTATCTCCAATAAACCACTTGAAAACCAGAATCGGTGCTATGGATCAAGCGGTAGAACGCTCGCCTTGACCTGAAGAGCACAGGCACAGTTCCCAGGCCCAGAATTCAAGCCCCACAACCGACAAAAAAAAAAAAAGGGACTTACTGGATTTTAAGTTCCAGTTTAACATGTGACGAAACAAACCCTGCCTCAAAAATCAAAGATACTTAGACATTATTCTATTTTTATACACACACATATGTATTATCAATCAGCTTCACTCCTGCCTTCCTTTTCTTTCACCTACAAACAGAAACACTTATGTACACAGCTGTTTTTCAAAAACTAGATTCTCCATGAAGAAACCATCTGTCTTTCTGAGTCTGGTTTATCTATTTTTTAAATAGATGTGTGTAAAGCTCAGTAGATTTTCAAGAGCCATGTTGCTTGCAATGTGAAGGTAAGTTTTGTTCACCTAAGGTCATAAATTCAGAGCTGCAGAAAGAATATTTTATGAAATACTACCTTCTCTGGCCTTCCATTGAGTCCACCTGAGGGTAACTGTCGTTCACAGAGCCACCAACCAAGTAAGTCAGAATTTACTTGATGTAATTGACTAGTAATTGCCAGGAATCCTGTGCAACAATAGATCTAAAATTAAAAATACAAAACACACATGTAGATTGATTCCAGGAAAATAAAAGGTTAAAACTTCCTCAAATTTCTAAAATCCCATGTTGTATTTCAAGTTCTATTATTATCCAATTACAAATTTGAACCCTGAGTATTTGTACAATATTCTCTGGCACAAACTAAGATGACTCAACTCAGGGTAGGAAAGGTTATCTAACTGATGAGACTACTTATATTTGCTTGGGTCAGAGATACCATGTATATATAAACTATGTATCTAAGAAACTTGCAATTATTAAGCAATAACCCTACTTTTGTTGATTTCCTTCATTGCTATTTAATGTATAACTCCAGTTACTATTAAATATTTAAAGATATGTCATCAAAACTGACAAATACATTTATGAGGTAATTACCTGCCCAGCATGAGATTCAGAACCTGGCCGGCAACCAAATCCACCATCAAAGTTCATACAGGACAAAACAAATTCAATTGCTTTTTCTACATTAATGGCCTCGAGCTTCCCCTATAAAGATAAGATGTATCAGGATGGGGTCTAGTTTAAAATGTATAGTGATTGCCAAGAATATGGCAACACAATGGTTTTTGTTCCACTGATGTCTAATCATTTCAGTACGATATTCAAATCTTACCAATAGTGCCAAAGTTGCCACTGCACAGAAGGAGAATCTTGTATCAATTTCGCCTGAAAAAGATCAATAGCATACAGATTACCATGGGCTTAACAGTAAAGTTGAAAAATTTATATAACCACATGCAATTACCAATAGTTTACACTTTTACATTAAGGTAATCATGAGAAAAGCTATACAACTGAATATATTATAAATGTTAAATATTCAAGGAAATATAACCATATTCCCTTGAATTGCTATTATTAAATTAGCTACAAGTGCAAAGAAAAAAACTAGGACTAGCCAGCTTTTAATAATGCAAATAAACTTACCCTATTTTACAAAAGCAGATTTTTCACATCCCATGAAGCAGCTGGTCTCTCTGGTCTGTACTTTGTTCGATCCTGAAGCAAAGATCATCTACATTTATCATACAAAACTGGACTCCCTCCCTCCACTCAAATAATCAGGAATTTAGTCAAACTTTGTTTTGTCCCAATCTAGCAGGTTTCTTTCCTTTCAGAAAAAAAAAAACACCCTTTTGTTCAAAACTACCAAATACTGGGGAAAATTTTCACCTACCTTATCTTTTAGACTGGGCCCTTTGTTCCAGTGCTCCTGTATGCTGGTATGTAACTACCACAGGGCATGCTGGAACCTCCAGCTGACCATTAACTCCAGTCAGACCAGCTGCTTTAGTGGGATCTGAAAAGATGAAAAACTTAACTTGGTTACTACCAAGGTCATGACATGTAATACTGAGCTTTGGATAGCATGAACTAAAACTGATCTTACCCCAAATATCTCCAGCGAAAGAACCATCTTCTTTCTGTAGACTCTGAACATACTCCACCACTTTATCGATGTCAATAACATTAATGCTATCATACAGAGTAAGAATCTGTAGGACAAATATACTACGGTAAGTAAATAGGCCTTCAAGTACATAAATGATAATCTATTTATTCTGTAAAATCCCTTTATTCCGTAAAAACCTTAAACGTAAGCAATTTCAGTCACTTGGCATTAGAAGCTACTCACTCTAATTTACTATCACATGGGCCTCCACTAATACCAAAATTAAACTCATATCAAAGCACTCTAATTTACTATCACATGGGCCTCCACTAATACCAAAATTAAACTCATATCAAAGCTATATATTGAACAGAAAGTTATCCTGCAAGGTCTCAGTATTATTTTAAAACTTACATCAAATTTGCATTCAGTTAATACATGCCATACCATCATTGACCTTGGGGGGGGGAAGACTTCACTGAGTCATAACAGAATTTAAAACTTTACCTGGACAGCACTAAGAGTGTACAAAAGATGAGGATCGTGTCCAATGCTGGCACTTATTCCACCACATTCATGTTGACATGACTTAATAAATGTCAGTATTTCTTCTCTATTCATGCGATCAAGCTGGCCCATGAGATCCATCACTGTCAGGCCCCAATAGATGCCACTCATTCTCAAATACTCAGACATACAATATTCCTAAAATAACAATTTCCTAAATGTGTCAGTTTGAATTTATGATGGGTTATAGTCAATATATATAATTCTAACTCAAAAGTAGTATAATTTAATTCATTTGTGGCTGACAATTTAAGGGAGGCTTTAGTTGCTCCCAAGTTGAACCCTATGCAAACTCAGGAAACAGGCTTATTCAAGTTTCAACAAGTTATCACTTACTTTATATCAGGCAGTATTGTAGATGCTAGAACACTACATTGGTTAAAATGTTCTAGGTTTTTGAATCAGTACTTTTCTGCAAACCCAAACTGAATGGGCAGCAGATAAAAATGTTAGACCCCATCAAGATTTCAATCTTCACAAACTCATGGCCTCTAATGGAGCATAAAATATAGGTTATAAAAACAAATCTAACATTTAGCTTAAAAGTTAAAGTCACGTAGATCTTCCCCAATCAGGGGAATTCAGCTGATTGGCCAGCACAGAAGAAAACACCAAAGTCAGGGGAATTGCTTTATTACTCCCTAAAAATGTCTCAAATGGGTTTGAGCTACTAAGGTAACACTTTTTCAAGGTCTCAGCGTAATTCTAGAGCTAATGTGTTATTACACATCAATAAACAATTCAGATAATACATGCCAACACATCATTGACCTAGAAAGTATTACCCAGCAACAAAAAGAAACCCCAAAACCCTTTCACACTAAGCCACATGAGCATTTTCAGTTCTCTGCATGGAGTGGTTGGATACCACTTGATGAACATAGGACTTCAATACTGCCCTCATGCTTATTTTATACCTATACTAGTATTTCAACAGTGAATCATACGCACATAATCATCTTTCTTTGAGCCATAGGACGCGATATAATCTGCATGTTTCTCCAGTAACAGTGTGTCTGGTGCATCTGACTTGATAGTAACATCCTTCTGTGGTGTGCCCTTTCAAAATAAAAACATTTCATCAATGTTTATCTCTTAACACTCGGCCCCGTATCATACATTAAATATAGATCAGAATTTATGCTCATCTTGTCACTTATAAGTATTTAGCTAGGGAGCTGGGAATGTGGCTTAGTAGTAGAGTGCTTACCTAGCATACATGAAAGCCCTGGGTTCAATTCCTCAGTATCACATAAAAATAAATAGCTGGAAGTGGTGCTGTGGCTCAAGTGGGAGAGCTAGCCTTGAGCAAAAGCAGCTCAGAGATAGTGCCACAGTGCCAGGCCCTGAGTTCAAGCCCCAGTACTGGCAAAAAAAAAAAAAAAAGCTAGTGTACTGGCACAAATCCCAGCAATTGGGAAGCTGAAGCAAAAGGTTTCAGTTCTTCAGTTCACTATCAACCCAGAGTTTCTCTTGAAAAAAAGCCAACTATCTTACCAAAAGGAATTTAAAACATCTTTCACGATATTGGTAACAATATTGGTAATTCTCAGGTCTCAGAGTAATTCTAGAGCTAAAGTGGTATTAATCAACTTTAGATTCAGAATACATGCCGGCTCATCATCGACCCAAAACTTACCATCGTAGTCTGTTTCTCTGTCACATAATTAAGGGAGAAACACCACAGAACACCAAGCTTACCAAAATGGGACAAGTATGAAGTTGGCTTTCTTTCTAAGTCTGGCTAACCCAAAACTTTGTAAAACCTGCTGGAACAAACTGAGGTTCTCAACTATTAGGTAGTCCCACGAGCTCTATCTTCAACTTTTAATCCGAGTCTGCAGCTGCAAAACCAACCCCCTCCCGACCGATGCTCAAGGGCTGCTCTCCTTCCCGTGACTACCTACCACCAATAATATTTAAGTAATTTCCTATAGACCAGTGATTACCCACCAAACAGTTAAGGCACGCAAAACTACACCCACTGGTGAAGATGTATGTCCACGCACATACGCATGCATGCACGAACACGTGTGCCTGTACGTACAGAGGCGACAGAGGCCTAGGAGGAGGAAGTCTGGATAAGACTGCAGCAGCCATGCTGCCCGCGAGGTCTGCAGAAAACGCTGAGTAACACTTCACCCTCAGCTCAGGAAACCCTCAAGCCCCGCGTCTTGACCTAACCATTCCCCAGTGTTTGCCAGCCAGTTCTACAGTGAGGATGGCCGCTCAACGTTACAGTCTGGCTCACCCACCCGAGAGAAGGCCCCGAAACACACGTACACTCACCATGTCTGGAACCGAAAAGACAGAAACCCGGAAGGTTCAGGGTAGATTTAGGAGCCGCGCCTGCGCAGAAGCAACCACGAAGGCCCCCTTCCCCGCCCCGACAGGGTTGCCCACGCTCCTGCCTGAAGGACAGACTGTCCTGTGACCGCCTAGGACCCCGCCGGCTGCTTATAGGCGTCTTTCGTGCCTGCGCCATTTTCCTTCTGCCACAGTCCTTCTAGTTTCTTGATCTTAGTTTGAAGAAACTTTTAAAAAGTGCTGGTTCTGTAGTCTCTTTGTACTCGGGAGATCTGAGATGCCGGCCACTCAATACAGTGCTTGCTGGTGTAGTCAGTACTGAGTCGATCTTTTAAAAAATTAAAATGATTAATAGTGCTGCGATAAACGTAGTTGTGCTGGTAGCTTTAGAAAAGTGGGATTGCTGGGTCCATAGGGGAGCTCTATGTGGAGTCTTTTGAGGAACCTCCATACTGCTTTCCAAAGTGTTTGAACAAGTTTACACTCCCACCAACAATGCAGTAAGGTTCCCTTCTGTCCACATCCCCTCCAGCATCTGTTGTTATTAGAGTTCTTGATTTTTGCCATTCTAACTGAGGTGAGGTGGTATCTTAATATTGTTTTGACTTGCATTTCTTTTATGGCTACAGAAGTTGAGCATTTCTTCATGTGTCTATTGGCCATTCTTATTTCCTCTATGTTTATCGCAGCATTATTTACCATAGCTAAGATATGGAACCAACTCAGATGCCCCTCAGTAGATGAATGGATCAAGAAAATGTGCTCGCGCTCTCTCTCATACACACACACACACACACACACACATATACATACATACATACATACAATGGAATTCTGTGCCTCCATCAGAAAGACTGACATTGCCCCATTTGTTAGGAAATGGAAAGACTTGGAAAGAATTATATTAAGTGAAGTAAGCCAGGCCCCAAAGAAACATAGGTCCTATGGTTTCCCTTATTTGCAATAATAGAATATGTCTAGGACAAGCAGAAAAGGTCAAAAGCTATGTACATATGACAATATAAGATGATGCTAAGCAAAATAAACCCCAAGATAGAGACACAAGTGGTTTTATCTTTCATGCTGTTGTTTTTAATGTACTTATAATGTACCACGTGATTTTTTTTTTTTTGTTTCTTTTTTATTTTCTTCCCCCATGGTATAACCCCTGTTTTCACTGTATTTGATTCAGGCGCTCTGCATCTTGTAGATACATTTTTTTCTAATTTGGGGAGGGGAAGGGAAATAACAAAATGCTGAAATGAGGACAGGATGACCCACTGTAACAAGGAGATGTACAAGACACTATAACTTCACAACTTGGGGGAGGGTGAGGAGAGAGAAGTTGGGGAGGTGGGGAGGGAAGGGATGGTAGGGGAAAAACAGGAGGAGATAACAATGCTCAATAGGAAATGTACTCATTTCCTTACTCATATAACTGTAACCCCTCTGTACAGTATTTCTACAATAAAAATATATACCAAAAAGAAAGAAAGAAAGAAAAAAGAATGAAAATGACCCTGGGTGCTAGTGGATGAAGCCTGCAATCCTAACTACTCTGGAAGCTGAGGATGGAGGTTCAAAGCCAGCCCAGGCAGGAAAGTCCTATCTCTAATTAAGCACCCAAAAAAGCCAAAAATGGAGCTGTGGACAGGCACCAAAAAAAGAAGAAAAGAAGGAAAGAAAAAAAGAATGAAAATTAAATGATCACACCTCCTTTGCTTTACTTTGCCCATTTTGGGGATTAGTCTCTTTGTCTCCTGCCTCCTCCCCACCAGAAGGGCTTCTACAGTAGTTGAAATATTTATAAATTGCTTTTCACAAGCTTTTTTCCTAAGAGTATTACAGTTACTTTCTTTTGTATGTCTTGCCTTTTCATACTTAAGTATTTTTTTTTTTTAATCAGAGCACACCATAGTCTCCTAAAAATTGCTTTAGTTTGAGATGGATATCAGATCTTAACCATACTTAAGTGGCCCATCAGTAATTTAGGCCTTATCAAACCTAACTAGTTGTAACTATCATGAAGGGGTTTCAATATTTCTCCCTGTAATTCTTCTGATCTTACTTTCCCATTTATAGTTTGGGACTATTTTACTATATGAGTGCAAATTGAGATTTGCTATATAGTTGTAAGGAAATTTAGCTTTTTTGGTTACTCTAGTTTCAATAATGCAACTAATCTTAAAATTTCTTCTTTGTTAGGTATTAATGTGATTTTGCCAATCCTCTTTTGGTTAGTACCTTTGAGAGGGATTTAAAACAATAAATGACAACAATAATGAAACCCAATCCTTTTCTTATATCTTTAGGTTTCAAAGTGTGCCTTGTAAAAAGAAAATTGCTGAGTTTTTTGTCTACTTTTAATCATTAGCCTCCATCTATTTTCATGAGCTGTGGCTGACTTGTTTTTGTGTATAACATTTTGCTTTCTACCTGTTACACCTCTCTGTACTTTTTATTGATTTGTGCTTTCATGCTCTAACCAAAACAAAAAAGGTTTTCTAAATAATTTCTAATCATCTCTGGTTTAGAAGTTATGTACACTATAATTGTTGTTTTAAACTACTTTAAAATTTATTCAGTATACTTGAAAACAACTGAAGATCAATAAGCATAGCTTCTCAGAAGACCAAGATGTGGGAATCTAGTTTCAAAGCAAGTCCTGTTGAAGCGGGATAACTTATGGAAACTGAGGCCTGGGGTAGGCAACTAAAAAATATGGCATCTAAAAACTTAGAAATGCTATCTTTGCTTCAAAGAGAGGCAATTAAATGCATTCTTTCCTAAGGGATGCATTTATCACCCAAGAATTCACAACTGCCTGACAGGATGTCCCAAAATGCAGATAGCAGGATGTCTCCTTTCAAGGATAAGGATCTGTTATATGGCAGGATGCATTCTTATCTGGCAACTCTGAGAATAACAACAGGTGTAGTTAAAGCAAAATATAAAAGCACCTAGCTTTATATAATTTAAAGCCAGACCCACTGCCTTTACCCTATAAATACCCAACAGCCCAAGGAGCTGTGTGTCTCTCTGGATGTCTCCTTGTCTATGTCTGTGTCTGTGTTTTTGTCTTTATGTCCCTATGAGAGCACCCACACTCTGCTAGAGTGTGCCCCTGCCCTTCCATTAGTCTGGTTTTTTTTTGTCTGTTTCCTTGCCTGATTACTTAATAAACCTCTGCCAAGTTTTCTTACCATTGTGACTTGTCCAGAAATTCCTATTCTGCCATTGAAGTCAAGAACTGTAAGTGAAGAGTTCCTATATTTAAGGGGGAGCTTTACGAATCCTCACCTCTGTCCGGTAACACTGTCAGACAAAACCTTTAAACTTACCTCCAGCTAACAAACCAGAATTAAAAGCATAGCTTAAGTGTTAGAGGGTCTACTGTACCAGCAACTCTTCTTCCCAACAGTCTAAGAACAGTGTAAGAACTTCCAGTCACTCTTGTTTTAACTG